TTACTTTTTTACCTTGTGTAGCTCTCAGCAACATTTAGGCTCTCAGCTCTTGCCTGGGAACCATGAGTTCAACAAAGGACTCTGTTTTCCACCTTGCCCTTAGCTCCACAGCCAACCTTCTTCACCCAGATAAGGGTGATTTTACTTCACTGGCTGGGATGACCAGCTGAACTCAACTCTATGGTCTTTTATCAACAAAGGGGTGGACTGCACACAACCAGAGAAAAAGTAGCATTTTTAAAAGTAAAGTCTGATTTAAATGCAACTTCCAATAGCCACACTGCTTCATTGATACAGAATATTATTTTAAAGTAATCTTGCTGTAAATACATCCTTGGCATAGTCTTTCCTTTGGATGATCTGATCTGTGTATCCAACTGTTTCTGCACCACTGTGCAGGAGAGCAGAGCTCTCAGGCAACTGAGCTGGAGCTGTGCTAGGCAGACTTCTGCAATACAGATGAATACTGAAGGCAGGGACTATGTCCCTCTCAATCAGCATTATTAAGGTGTATTTTTATTATTATTATATTTATTATTACACTTAAGAGAATTTAGAGTGTACTCAGGTAATAGTGAAACATGAAAAGATAGCTGTGAAAGCACAAAATGCTTCATTTCAATACTTTTCAGTTCAGACTTCGAGGCAGAGGTTTCAATAATTATCAGTGCTCATACCTACACAACAACACAGGGCTACCTGTGTGAAACTTTGCCAACAGTACTGTAATCTCCAAAGGTATCAGTTAAAAAAAATTTTAAAAATTAGTAGAATGCCACGTTGTTTTGGAAAATTGCTCAAATACCTCAGTGAGGATGGGAAGTTGTTTTGAATATTTCAAAGACAATTAGTAGTAATCTGGCATTCAAGGAAAACCAACTGAACATTGATTGTCAGTGTGGCTCAAATCCCACAGATGAACAGTGCCTTCTTGCCCTTTAGAAATTACATAATTTAGAAGATCACCTAATTCTCAGACTCCAGTATGTGACTGCTCGATGCCACTGGTGTAGCACAACACATTTCAGCCTGTATTAAACAGGCTTTCCAAGACAGAAATTCAGAGAAGGCAATTCTGGGTGAGTAGTGTATTTTAGTAGAAACACAACGTGGTTTCAGAAGGAAATCAAGTAATCTGAAATACTCAAAGGATTATCTAGCACATGATTTGCCTACAACAACATGATTCCATTCTATAACAAAATACTGGTTCAGACAAAATACATCCAGAATAAAAATCCATTTGTAGTTTTCTGTAGGCACATTGCGTAGTCCGTATTGCACAGAAGATACATCTCTGAACTAAAGGGCACACATACATTATTTGATCAAGGATATAAATACATAACATTGGATTTTGGAGAAAGGCTTTTAAATCTCTGCAACTGGATTAACCTTTTCCTGTTAGTACCTTCACAACATTCATCTGTGTATATATATATATATATATGTCTATATAGTAAACAAGCAGTTTGTTTTGTAAACATTTCTGATTGCATAAGTGACCTTTGCTGTTTCATAACCAAGTTCAGGAAACCAACTAAATTAAATACTGTGTCTAGAGATCTCTCTTGTTGTTACAAGAGCACAGAACTATTTAATCAGAGAAGTAGTCTAGAATTAAATTAATCCTTTTATTTAAAGGGGAATCAAGGTTACAAGTTCCTCCTTCCCTCCAAACATAGTAAGACACGGGCAGCTCATGCTGCACTGCATTTCCAACAGGCCAGGACTGTGGGCTGAGGAGCACAGTTCCATTCTAAGCCCCAATGCTCTGCCCTCACTCCAGGTTCTCCGTCTCTCTCCTGGCAGCACCTCTCCACTGGTTACCTCTGCCTTAGGCTGCTGCTCTTTACCAGGAGGAAGAGAGCAGCTTTCAGCAGTACTTTAAATGTACTGCAGACCCCAGCCAGAGACAAACAATTCAGTACCATGAACTATTAATGAAAAGAAGGGGCAGGGGAAGGGCCTGGTCACACAGAGGCTGTGCAAGGACTTACTGCAGCAACTGAGCACATTTGCCAAAACTGAAAGCAAATATGAATGATCAGAATTTAAGGAAGGAGGCTGTTTAGGGATAGAAAGTATTGAGCCAAAACAACCTGAATTCCTGCCGCAGTACTACTGTGAAGGAAGAAAAACCATTAAAATATCCTTCACTCTACACCTAATAGGTCTTTTCCCTGTTAAACAGGGTGTGAAAAGGCTGGATGGAGTGCACCAGATCTAACCCTTAGATCCTGTAGCATGTTTGTAATCACAGTGACTATCAGCAGCAGACAGGTAGGGTTTGTTTCTGGATGAGCCATGAAGGCCCCCAATTTTAAAAGCTCAGTATGTAAGAGATTAACTCAAGTCCATTAGAACAATAATCAATGAACATTTTAATTCTGCAAAATATGTACATTACAACATTAAAAGAACACAAGTGCCCATTCCAAACAGATAAACTGTGCAAATAGTGGGTCTTTGTGTGTCTGCAATCCCACCATGCAAACAATACTCGATATGCATGCTAATGACTACGGTTATCAATCCCAAAGGAAATACTAAAGGAATCAAGAATGAACAGCAGTGAAAGCCACACAAAGACCCACTATCCTTTCTGCTTTTACAAATCCACTGAAACTGTAGATTAGAAGAAAACCCACGAAAACCTAATTTCTTGGTTGGATCTAACGTTCAAACGAAGCAAAAGGATTGTGTCAGACACGTGAGCAGGGCTGGCCACCCTGCCTCCACGCTAGTCAAACTTGGATAGTGGGTCTCTGAGGTGCTTTCACACTGGAAGACAACATTGGGTCCTAAAAAAAAAAACAAAACAAAAAAAAAAAAAGAAGGATAAAATGAACATAAATTTGAAGAGTGAAACATATGAATTCTACGGACAAAGACAGAACAACACCAAAAAGGTCAGAAAGGAATGATGAACATTCAACTTTCTGAAAACAGACATCACAAGCTTCCACCTTTGCAGTTTCATATTTATAAACACACAAATTTAAGTACTTGTGACCAGCCATTGCTGACTCTGAAAACCCCCACAGCTCATTCATTTGAAGAAAAAGTTTCTTCCTAAGGAAAACTTCTGCCATGTAGACTCAACACAAGGTCAAGCCCTAAGGGTATTTTTAAAGGCAGTGGCAAAATTCCCCAAGATTTCAACAAAAATCAGAATCTCTCTTGAGAAACTTCTACTGGGACATTAGAAAATCAGATAAAAAGAAAACTTGTAAAGAAAAATCTCATTGGAATTTATTCTTATCAGCACATAAAAATTAACCTGTTCAATTCTGTTTGAGCCTGAAAGAAATTAAAACCTTGCCTCTAGTCTTATGTGTCCATGGAACAGGAGGTACCACATCCCTCAGAATCCAAGGGCTACATGGTCTGAAGAGGGATAGACCTTGTGGGCAATCCAGAGACTATTCCAGACCCCAGGATTACAACCTGGAAGTGTTATCAAGCCTGACTGACATTCACCAAATAGTTTTAGAACTATAAAGTCACTGTTAAGTAAGGGATTGATTTCATATTTGTTCTTTGGTAAAAGAGGTAAAATTCTGGAGCTGTTGAGTAAAATCAGAATAAATCATTAATCCTCAATTGTTAAAATATCAGTGTGGAACTGCAAGAGGCAACAGCTCAAAGCCACTGCCACCATGAACTGTTACTCCACAAAGAGAAGTTACTTGGCAAGAACTAGAGAACTTCCAAATGTGCTGTCCATACAGACACGGAAATGCACCAGCCACAAGCACATCAGTTCAGAAGTTGTTTTTTCACTATGAACATCCCTGCAAGTGAGTCAGCTTCATCCACCTGACTGTGGACAGGAATTACTGAAGATCTTTTGTGCACGGAAATCAACTTCTGGAAATACAGATCCTTGTTGCAGGACTTGCCTCGTGTCTCCAACATGTCACATTTACAAGTAAGGTTTGGGGAAGACAAGAATGAGGTAGCTCTAGAGATATTACTACAAACAACAACCTGGAGCTCAGGCTGAGCACCTGAAGGAGTAACTCTGATGTGTGAGGAACTGCAGCAGTGCTGGGCTATGGAAAGCAGAAAGAGTAAACAGGAAACAGTCATCACACATAGATTAGAGTAGAAAGAACTGGCACAACATTCAGCTCTGAGAGTCTCATGGGATGAGACACCTCAGGATGAACCAGAAGCCCCTCTGCACATGGAGCACAGCTGTGTCCACCTGGCTGAGCTGCCCAGTCCTGAGCAAGAACATCTCTGAGGGATGAGCTGGTCTCTAACACTAGAAGACATCTAGCAACCAAGTACGCAGACACAGCTGGAGCAGCTCTCTTCCCTCTTTACACTTCTCTCCTGCCTACCCCACTTAAACATCCCTTGGAAATAAGGAGAAGAGAACTAGTTAGAGGTGTCCTTGTCAGATCCTGGTAACACAGGGAAGACCTGACCCTTGACATTTAATGGTTGAGATTTACCTGAGTGGAGAAAATCTCAACTAAAGAAAACAAAAGGACACAGCTCACACTGGTTCCATGGATAAGATGACAAACTTAAAAAGGTATCTCATTGAAAAAGCCAACAAATAACAAGAGAACAAGTTTCCGAGTGCAAAGCAGATGAAGACCAGGCCACTGGGAAGAACTCTGAAGTGGTAAGAGCACCATGCCTACCCCCCTTACACACACCTTGGAAAGGATGGGAAGAGAACCTGGCACTAGACAGGTACTGGCAACACACAAGATCTGACCCTGCATGGTTGTGCAAACACTCAAAGATTTATTTTAAATCTATTTTGAAACCTGCTGAGTATATTTATTATTTATTATGGCTTTTGTGCAAAAATTAGAAAAAAGGCTATTAAAAATGTCATTAAAACAGGAGCAAGTCTAAACACCACCACAGTCACCAGGAACACGACTCTACTGTCCTGTGTTCTGCAATCACCACGTGTTTAAGGGACAAACAAACCTACAACACCCTGAAGTCATTTTGTTTTTCTTTCCTTGCAGGGGTCCTATGCCAGGATGTGCAGCTACACCAAGAGGAAAAGTGATTTTGTTCTGTTCACAGAGCTATGTCAGCAACTTAAGACAAGGGACATCTCACTGACTCCAGTTCCTTCTTTGCTAGGGAGGTTTGCCATTACAGCTACAACTAATAGCTCCCAGAAAAGACTCCAGATACAAAGGTCTTTAAATCTGGGGGAAAACCAGAATTTTCCCAAGCCACAAACCTATCTGAGTAAACCAAATTTGCCTGCTCCCTTTCCAATACCATCATACTTGTTCTAGAAAAAACAGCAGGAAAAATTGCTATTATTCAACAGAGACATTATAATACTCAGACCAGCAATTCTTTGAAATGCAACAATGTATTTTTAAAAATATATTCTCTCATATCTCAAAGCTGTTCTGTAGAGGGCCACATCAACATTTCTATGGGACAATTCCTTAGTGATTTCACAAGAATACTCATGATAGTTTCTCTACTCTGTTTAAACAAGAGCCAGAAATATTGTAAGGAAACACAAGGAAGTTTGGAAGTTCATTCAGAACACATTTAAACATTGCTCTGGTTACAGAGGAGGCACAGAGCAGTGGCTTACTGCTCACAGAGCTGACCAGCAGCAGCAGTAGCAGCCCAGCTGAAATCTGGGATATGGTATTTGAACAGTGCTGTGTTGGGTTTGTGCAGGCTCTGGGCTTGAGGCAGGATTTTTCCTTAAGTTTCCAAATGCCACAACAGTGGCAAATCCCAGCACAAAACTAGTGTGGAACTCAGCTTATTTGAAATCCTGAGAGAATTTTAAGAAATGAGAATAAATTCCACTCTTTGTTCATCACTAGGTGGATTTTGTAGAACTGCTTCATAGAGTAGTGATTAGAGGGAAGTTTAATGGCCAGGTACAGATGACCTGGTGCACATCTGCACATCATTAACCTTTGTCAAAATCCACTTTGATGTGGATGGAAATACTCTTATTTCACATCACTGAAATCTGAGGGAAAACTTAATGATGTACTAGCAAACAATGAGAAAAACTTGCTCATTATCCAGAAAGTTTTCATTTACAGTGTGGTCTCAGCATGGCTTTTGCTGAAAATCAGTGGTTTATGCGATGACCTTGCATTTGTCACATTCAACAACCTAACTTGAAATAACAACACACGTGGTGTGACAAGCTGTTACCTCTATCATTTTTTAAAATTCCTAAGTTTTAATACTAAGCCAGAAATTTAATTTTATAGCCCACCTGCTACAATCTATACTGTTTCTTCAAAAGTGAGATTTGCAAACAAATTAAAGCTTGCAAAGGACCATTTTAATGACTTAGCCATGTCTAATCAAAAAATGTTAAGTTCAATCTAAATCCAGAAGTTTCTAACATCTCAACCACATTGGCCAGAGGCATTAAAAAAAAAAAAAAAAAAGCCAAACAATGTGTTACCAAAAATATGAGCTCATATTTAGCTAAATAGCTCAGAATTTAGCTAAAGAGAAAACCTCAAGAATGATGCACAGCTCTTTTGCCCAGGAACCGTAACAATTTACCCAGGGAAAATATTTTAACTTTCCAACCCAAGCTGTACCTTCATTAGGAGTTTGTGAATTTTTCTCTAAGAACACGACCATGTGATTAATGAAGTGCAGACTGATCCTACAGTAGCTATAGGCTAACAAGAGTGAGGCTCAGCCAGATTTACAGATGGGTGTTTTTATCTCAAGAGACTCCAAACATTGTCTAGAGGAAAACAGCAAGTGAAGGGACAAGGCCTGTCGTGTCAAAGAAGCTACTCTGGCATCAGGGTGTGTTCCCAAACCCAGTGGGCTGATGTAAAAGTTGGCTTAATCACAGGATGAAACGCTGAGAGAGTAAAAACTGCTAAATTTCTCTGGGAGGAGAATTTTCTCTGGGGACAGGAGCCAAAAAACAGGGTGTGTGTAGGGGACATCAGAAACCTTTACTGTGTTTATGTGCTAAAAAGGCAGAGAAGATATTGACTGTCAGGTGTACAGTTTAAGATCCAGTTCTCAGCCTGTGCTGGTAATTCTCACCTCAGCCTATGTCCTGACATACATCTTGTTTCTCAGGACTGGATGACAGCTGGAATGCTGGGAGCCAGGACAAGCATATTTAGGACTGGCCAGACCACGTGCTAATGCCTATCTTTTTCCTATCCTTTTAATGGGTATTTTTACTTAACTGACACATGTGTTAAAATTACTACAGCACTTTTCCTTATTTTACAAAACTCGAGCAAGTTCTGTAATTGCAGTGTGCCTGCACTGCTTCCCAGTCCATGCTAATTATCAGAATCTTGTTGGAAGGAGAACTCCTACCCAACCCAGTATTTTTAGCTCATCCTACAGCACTCTTGCTATCCTACACTGGCTGGTTGGCAATGTTCTGGTTGTTTGTAGGTTAACTAGAAGAGGGTTTAAAGTACCTTGTACCATAATAAAGTATTTAAAGAAAGAGTACTTGAAGTACTAATCAATTCAGCTGATGCCTGGAACTCCAAATTCCAAACACAAAGAAGAAAAACAGCAATGCACCTTTGAAACAAAGTAACAAAAATCAATCAAAAATAGAGGTTGCTTACACTGCTGACTTGGATCGGAATCTGTGGTCATCTTCACATAGTTTGAGGGGAAGAGACCTGTCACACCATTGATTTCTCCTTGCCACCAGTCAGCATCATCTTTGTTCAGCACATTAATCAGCTGCCCCTTGGAGAAACTGAGCTCGTCCTCATTGTTTGCCGTGTAATCATACATGGCTATCACCTGGCACACTGGGAAGGAAAGAGCAGAATGGAGTTATACCAGCACTAAAACTGTTTTCTCAGTGTTTTACAAAACCACAGGAAAGAAGCAACACACTGTTGCATGAGAAAAATGCCACATGATTTTATCTTGATACAGAATTGTCTTCCCTTTTCTTTTACTTCTTTAAAATTGAGCCAGCCAGTAATTCTTACTTCCACTTTATATATCTGTGAACTTTTACAATGAATGGACTACACCTACTGCCTTCCAAACACTTTACAATGTAATCAAGTACCCATCTCTCTTTTACTGGCTGAAAAGAGAGTGAGTTTGATTCTCTTACTGCAGACACTTGTGGGGAAAATGTGGCAGAGGAAGAGGAAACGTGCATTAGCTAATCATGAGTTGCTGCTTTAGTCACAGGGAAGTTTGGTCCAGTAAAACCCAGGAAATTGTTGTATAAGCAACTCATAGCTGTGGAGAACAGCATAATTTAAGCACACAGAAGCAAAAAAGCTCATTTTCTGTGAAATAACCTCATTTGTACTCAACCATTCAAATGGAAAAAACCTAGAAATAACCTGAAAATTTGCTTAGTCTCCTTCTTTGTAAGGAGCATGTAATTCCACATGGTTTGCCAATGTTTGCTAGCTCTAAAATTTTTTGCTAGCACTTGGAAACATGGAGTTTCCGAAAGAGAAGAGTATGGCTCTTCAGAACAACCATGAAAATTAAAAAGCCCAGAAGATGGATGCCTGACCTTCACAGATACATGAACATTTGAAATAGTTACATAAAATTCTAAATGAAATACAAAGTCTCTTTTTTTCACCTGAGGGAGCAGCTGATGTGGTTCTTTCACTGCTTGGACCCAGCAGCTTCACATGGCTGGCAGGAAACCATCCCTTCTGTCTCTTTTTCCCTCTTGCCTGTAAATGTTTGTAATGGTTATTACACAACTGAAAAACTGAATAGTCCACAGAATAGAAAAAATTGCAAAAAATATGTCACAGAGTTTTGCCAACAAAAGACAAGAAGTCAGACTTCTAAACAGCTACTAAATGAATCTTAAAAGATAAAAATCTGACTAAAGCACAAAACAACACAATTCAGATAAAGCTGCGCCCTAATACGTTAATACAAATTTTTTAAGTGAGATTTCAGAGCACAACTCAAATGTAGGGCTGAAAATTTGTTCTATGAATATTCCACCTATGCATCATATCCAGAGTTTCTAAAGAGGTCAAAGGCACTTTAACAGGACATTCTTCTTAAATCTAGGTGGGGAAAGGAGAGAAGTGGGAACAGCACTTTTGCATTAAAGAAGCTTCCAACTCCAGCTTCCAAACCCACCTGTCCTTTCTTTAGAATAACTTCACAGTTTAATGTTTCACCAATTAAATCCTAACCAATTAAGTAACTGTCAACTTGTCTCTTCCTCCTCCCGTCTGTTAATCGACAGTTTTACTATTTTATGTGACCAAGAAAATTGACTCTAAAAAAACCATAAAACCCCCAGCAACCCAAAGTTTTAAAAAGCCAACCAACCAATCTAACAAACAAAAAAAAATCCACCATACACCTTTTCTTCCCCTTTGGTTTACACAGGGTAACTTTCTGACCAGCTTTTATATAACTCCATACTCAGTTGTTTTTTTGAATTAAACCTGAGAGCACCTCCTTGCCATTCATGAAGTCACAATTATTCCTCCTTGAATCACTTACCTGCAACTCTCCTTGCCACCATCCACTGGCATTTTTCTTCAGAATAAGTATCAGCTGTCCTGGAGCAAGACTGAGCTGTTCAGTTCCTGATGCAACATAGGCAGTAGTAACCTGAGCGATTTCTGGAGAGAAAACAGTAAAATTGCATTTGTTATTTTTTCACTGCAGTAAGAGCTGGAACCACAGAAATAGCCTGGAACACAACTTTCAGCTAAGCTAAGAACACCAGCCACCAAACACTGCTATGAACCAAAATGCTCAGCGTTACCTAAGAAACAGCCTTACTTGTTAAAAGGTTATCACACACTTACCGGGTTTCTTATTTATTGTTCCAGTTTTGCCAGCATAGCTAGAAGCCTACAAAGACAAAATAACAACCACCTTTAATATGCAACAAAACCAGTACAGTTTACACTAAAAGCACATGGAGATTTTAACTTTATACCCATATTTAACAAAACAGCATCCTGTACAGAGAGAGAGGCACTGTGACACTGGCTACAGCTCCGATTTAGCACTCAAGCTACTAAGGATTTTCTTTTCTATCAAGCATATTAACCTCTGCTCAAAATCCCTGTGTAAGAGCTGGGTGCCAACAGAATGAAATGGAGAGAAAATCCATTGAGAATTGTTAATTTTCAGACTCTGAACTCACGTCTGGATCTTTTGGTCTGACGTAATTGGAGGGGAAGATTCCAGTCCTGTTATCGATGCTCCCGGTCCACCACTCCCCTTCCTTCTGGGTCACCAGGATCTCCTCTCCTTCCATGAACGTCAGGTCACCGGGCTCAGAGCTCGAGTACGGATAGAGGGCAACGTACTCTGTGCAAGGAGCACACAGGGGAGAGCAGAGCTTCAGAGGGGCACAAAGGAACCCCAGATGCACATAAAGGGGTACCAGCATTCTCCAGTGTGTGCA